AGGAGTACTAGATACCAAAACAAGCGTCAGCAAGAATTTCTCTAACTGAAATTTTTCTCCCTCTAATTCGTTATAATATAAAGCAAAATATCAATTCTTAAAAATGAACGTACTAGCAATAAACTCTGAGAAACAAGAGTCGGAAAAATTAACTAAACAAGAGAGAAATAAACTACATTACCAGCAAAAGCGAGAAGAATTAAAGGCTAAGCGAAGACAAAGATATCAAACTCAAAAGTCTGAACAAAAAGATACTTCGACAAACAATAAACCAAAAAACTCTAAAGTAAATGTCGAAGTAAAAAATAGTCAAACCAAATGAAACCAGGAAAAAAAGCAAGAATTTCAAAGAGAATAAGTTAAGGCCAAAAGAGATGAAAAAGAGGGGGTAAACGACAATGCTTTAGAAAATGAAGGATTATCGGTTAATATTAGAGATTTTGAAGCAGCAGAAAAACTAATTGATTGGTTAGAAAAAGTTAAAGAGAAGGAGGATAAATTCCCTCGCAAATGGTTGAAGAAATGTTTAGCGGAAAAAAATGAAGGTTTCTGAAAAGCTTTTGCTGAACTTTTAAAAAGTAATCGTAAACAATATCGCCGTAACAAAAAGCTTCGCTTACCCTTGTCAATTCCCGCCCTTGAACAATGGAGACAGGAGAAAGACCAAATTTCCCTTAAGAAAATTAAGTTGTCTAAGAAGGCCGTTAAACAGTTCCTCTACGAACCTAATAACCACCGCTTATGATACAATTGTGAAGAAGTTTTGGCTAAGACCCCAACCCAATGAGGGAGAATGCGTTTTATCGTGGAGAATAATAAAGAAAACAACTCTTATCTCTATTTAGAACCCACTCTGGAAAAAGATTGACACCTCCGAGTTTACTGCCAAGAAAAACGAGATAACCAACTTCGACACTTCCGTACCTACTGCTCTTACCGAGATACTCGCTTAGTCAGCATCAATATTCACGAATGAGACGAAATAACTAAGAACGAGGTAGGCCAATGAACTAAGAAATTTTCCGGAGAAGAGAACCTTTTTCTAGGTTCGGTCTCACAATCTCTTCCTAATAATTAAAACGATGACTAATGTCCTTATAATTTCCTTTCCGGGGGAAACAAAATTGAGGATTGGCGTCCTTATTCTTTCTAAGAATAAGACTTTTCATTAACTAATACTTTTGTTGTAAAATCAACGCAAATTTATAAGCAACTATTATTCGCTAATAGTTTTATATTCAGCCACACAAAAGACGAGGTAAATAATAAGCACTTTTCTTACCTTTATAATTAATAATAACTTAAAAAAATGAACGTACTAGCCATAAACTCAGAAAATAATGTTCTGGTAGAAAGCCAAGAAGTTAAGCCCCAAAAGAAGGATAAAGAGTATTGAAAAGCCTATAACGAAAAAAGAAAAGAATATTTTCGCCAGAAAAAAAGGGAACAAAGGACTAAATCAAAAGGTTCGGTTGTGGACTGCCCAGTTGTGGACAGCAATGAAGTTGTGGACTATGTAAACAGTGAAAACGAGGTTAGCCATGTAAACAAAGTTGTAGACCAAAAAAACGCAGTGTCCACAACCGAGGAAGTTGTGGACAAGGAAAATGTTGAGACAGATTTATTAGTTGAGACAAAAAAAGAACCGAAAATAATTGTTGAGACACCAACGAAAGATGTTGAGACATTAAAGGTTAGCCGTGTTGAGACATTTGTCAAACTTCCTAATGTTGAGACACAGAAGAAAGAAATTCAACCCGCTTCTAGCCAAAAGTGAGGCTGAAATAAAAATACTAACTCTAAGACGTTGTTTTGCCACCTATAATACCTTAGCCGGTATGCCCCTTAATATTTTACAACGCATATTAGGCCATAGTAAAATTTCTACTACGGCTTTGTATATTAAGGATAGTGATTTAAGTAATTTGGTGAAATTTAGACCGATTGCTTAAATGTTTTTAAAAGTTATGAAAAAGAGATTTTATATTAATATAAAAAAAGACTTGCCATTGCTAGTTCGAGCCTTTCAGAACAGCGAAGAACAAAAGAGACAAGGGAAATTAGTACAATTGCTTTTAGATGAAAACTTAGCCCGAGAACTTAACTACGCACTAGCCGAAAATCATTTGCTAGCCCGGAGTTTAGGAATAACTTCCTCTCATTATGGAGAAATTAATCCCGGGTCTAGTCAAGGTCTAATTCATTCCCTAATTACTAAGTGAAGTTATCAAGAAGTGCGTTTATTACCATTACGGAAGTATTGACTACGAGCCAAACGACAACCCAACTCAGCCCAAATATCCAATAAACCCACTTCTTGATAACTTCACTTAGTAATTAGGGAATGAATTAGACCTTGACTAGACCCGGGATTAATTTCTCCATAATGAGAGGAAGTTATTCCTAAACTCCGGGCTAGCAAATGATTTTCGGCTAGTGCGTAGTTAAGTTCTCGGGCTAAGTTTTCATCTAAAAGCAATTGTACTAATTTCCCTTGTCTCTTTTGTTCTTCGCTGTTCTGAAAGGCTCGAACTAGCAATGGCAAGTCTTTTTTTATATTAATATAAAATCTCTTTTTCATAACTTTTAAAAACATTTAAGCAATCGGTCTAAATTTCACCAAATTACTTAAATCACTATCCTTAATATACAAAGCCGTAGTAGAAATTTTACTATGGCCTAATATGCGTTGTAAAATATTAAGGGGCATACCGGCTAAGGTATTATAGGTGGCAAAACAACGTCTTAGAGTTAGTATTTTTATTTCAGCCTCACTTTTGGCTAGAAGCGGGTTGAATTTCTTTCTTCTGTGTCTCAACATTAGGAAGTTTGACAAATGTCTCAACACGGCTAACCTTTAATGTCTCAACATCTTTCGTTGGTGTCTCAACAATTATTTTCGGTTCTTTTTTTGTCTCAACTAATAAATCTGTCTCAACATTTTCCTTGTCCACAACTTCCTCGGTTGTGGACACTGCGTTTTTTTGGTCTACAACTTTGTTTACATGGCTAACCTCGTTTTCACTGTTTACATAGTCCACAACTTCATTGCTGTCCACAACTGGGCAGTCCACAACCGAACCTTTTGATTTAGTCCTTTGTTCCCTTTTTTTCTGGCGAAAATATTCTTTTCTTTTTTCGTTATAGGCTTTTCAATACTCTTTATCCTTCTTTTGGGGCTTAACTTCTTGGCTTTCTACCAGAACATTATTTTCTGAGTTTATGGCTAGTACGTTCATTTTTTTAAGTTATTATTAATTATAAAGGTAAGAAAAGTGCTTATTATTTACCTCGTCTTTTGTGTGGCTGAATATAAAACTATTAGCGAATAATAGTTGCTTATAAATTTGCGTTGATTTTACAACAAAAGTATTAGTTAATGAAAAGTCTTATTCTTAGAAAGAATAAGGACGCCAATCCTCAATTTTGTTTCCCCCGGAAAGGAAATTATAAGGACATTAGTCATCGTTTTAATTATTAGGAAGAGATTGTGAGACCGAACCTAGAAAAAGGTTCTCTTCTCCGGAAAATTTCTTAGTTCATTGGCCTACCTCGTTCTTAGTTATTTCGTCTCATTCGTGAATATTGATGCTGACTAAGCGAGTATCTCGGTAAGAGCAGTAGGTACGGAAGTGTCGAAGTTGGTTATCTCGTTTTTCTTGGCAGTAAACTCGGAGGTGTCAATCTTTTTCCAGAGTGGGTTCTAAATAGAGATAAGAGTTGTTTTCTTTATTATTCTCCACGATAAAACGCATTCTCCCTCATTGGGTTGGGGTCTTAGCCAAAACTTCTTCACAATTGTATCATAAGCGGTGGTTATTAGGTTCGTAGAGGAACTGTTTAACGGCCTTCTTAGACAACTTAATTTTCTTAAGGGAAATTTGGTCTTTCTCCTGTCTCCATTGTTCAAGGGCGGGAATTGACAAGGGTAAGCGAAGCTTTTTGTTACGGCGATATTGTTTACGATTACTTTTTAAAAGTTCAGCAAAAGCTTTTCAGAAACCTTCATTTTTTTCCGCTAAACATTTCTTCAACCATTTGCGAGGGAATTTATCCTCCTTCTCTTTAACTTTTTCTAACCAATCAATTAGTTTTTCTGCTGCTTCAAAATCTCTAATATTAACCGATAATCCTTCATTTTCTAAAGCATTGTCGTTTACCCCCTCTTTTTCATCTCTTTTGGCCTTAACTTATTCTCTTTGAAATTCTTGCTTTTTTTCCTGGTTTCATTTGGTTTGACTATTTTTTACTTCGACATTTACTTTAGAGTTTTTTGGTTTATTGTTTGTCGAAGTATCTTTTTGTTCAGACTTTTGAGTTTGATATCTTTGTCTTCGCTTAGCCTTTAATTCTTCTCGCTTTTGCTGGTAATGTAGTTTATTTCTCTCTTGTTTAGTTAATTTTTCCGACTCTTGTTTCTCAGAGTTTATTGCTAGTACGTTCATTTTTAAGAATTGATATTTTGCTTTATATTATAACGAATTAGAGGGAGAAAAATTTCAGTTAGAGAAATTCTTGCTGACGCTTGTTTTGGTATCTAGTACTCCT